AAAAAACCAGAGACGTAGCACTGTACTGTTAGCAATTATTGTAAAGGGTTGTGATGTTTATTGCTTTTGTATGTTCCTCGATGGCAGAAAGAAGAAATATAAGGAGTGTTGTTCTGTTGAATGCGTTATTATAAAGAGCAAAGGTAATCAACAGAAAAATTGATTGTTTGGGAACGAACGAAAGAAAGAAATAAAACGGTAGAATGTTGATGTCTTTATTGAAGAATAGTTTCTCCGATGCACATACGCGTTGACAAAGTCAAAGTGTTTTGCATAGGTTAAATCAACAAATGGGTCCGAAAAAAAAATAACGGCATTCATTTTATTCATTCATTCATTCATTTATTCATGTATGTATTTATTTATTTATTTATTTATTTATTTATTCATTCATTCATTCATTTATTTATTCATTCATTTATTTATTCATTCATCCTGTTTTCATCAAATCACTTCATGGGCTTCTTGTTCTGCTCGTCATGCGTTATACTGTAACTCAAGAAAAAAAACCATGACTTCTCTTTTTGCATTTTTGACGTAGAGATATATGCATAACTTGGAAGATCAAACAAAGCATTATAAAAATATTATAGCGTGGCAGGAAACATTGAGGGTGAACGTGATGATTACCTTTAAAGCCGCACCGCATTCTCACCCACTCTCACTATCTGGTTAACTTCAAAGACCTCATCCGAAGAGAAAGAAGTAGTTAAATTATCAAAGCCAAGACATCAAGTTGGTGACTGAATTAGAAGATATTGACAATGACAGTTGTAACTACTGCTAGAATGTTTGTCCCGATCCTGCATTTAACTAAGCAATTGATGCAGACGGTTATAATTCCGTCCGCATGTCAAATTTTTCCTTCAAATATAGTAGTGGCACTTTCTTTTCTTTTGTGAATAAACTTAATTGCAGAACCTTACTAACACTTTAAGTATTACCTCAACACATCGCTGACAGTTTCGGTTATGAAAATCAAGATCATCGAAAGAAAAATCCCCGATATTCACAGCGCTACAGAGCATACTTGAGACTGTGAGTGTGGATGGGTTTAACTGTTTTGATACCTCAATCCATATTCACACCATCGTCGAGTGGTATTATCGGATTGCTGTAGATCTTGGCTTCATGTTGCTTGCGCTACTTTATCTTGTTGGATAGTGAACATGATAGTAAAAACTCCGACGACAATTACTGGCAAAGCGCCTAAGAAATTTTTTTCGAAGCTTAAGGATGGCATTTTCTTTCAGTGCTTTACAAAAACTTGACTACAGTTCAGAGAAGCTCTGGATATCAATAGAATTTATGATGAGGATGTGGGTGTGAGTGTCTGGTTACCTCATCAATGATACATATGGTCGTTCAGGTAGCCCTTTACGAAGATACGAACGCCTACATCCACACTCACACCCAATACATTTCAATAGAAGATGTTCCAGTTCTATGCAATAGAACAATTATTTGTCCAAAAAATGAACATTCTCTCATGATAAATGAACAAGTACTTCAGCGACTACCTGAAGAAGAAAAAGCATATAGAAGTGTGGACGAAGTAGAATGTGAAGATAGCAATGAAGGAACAAACTATTCTACAGAATTTTTGAATAGTCTCACAACATCAGGTATGCCTCCTCATAAACTTACTCTAAAAATTGGCGCAACTGTTATGCTTCTTCGCAATCTTGATGTTAATCAAGGTCTCTGAAATGGAATTTGACTCATTGTACGCCATATACACAATTGATTGTGAAATGGCAACTACACCTAACAAAGAAAAGACAGTTCTAATACCAAGAATTACTTTGACACCGTCTGATTCATTTTTGCCGTTTAAATGAGATGTGGATATGGACGTTAGCAGATTGCTATTCATACTGATATCCACACCACACACACCACATATGGAATGAATTTTAATTTAATTATTCTTTTCATATATTCACAATAAATACCATGGATCTTTATTATATATTGAAAGACTTTTCAAAACTGATTCAAATGAAATTTCTTAAATTCAATATGAAATCAAAGTTACAGAAACATTACTATGCCATGTGTAATACTGACTCTTCTTACAAGAACAATTTCAACTAAAATCGAGTTTATCAATTGAATAATTTTTTCTTTGTTTTGAAAAGTTGCTTTTGTTGCAAGCAAAAAGAAAACACTTGTTGAAAATTTTTTATTTTATTTTGTTATAAAGAATAATACCAAAATCAAGACAAAAGATACGTATATAATCAAGCAAATAAATAAAAGAAATACACACACATATATACTACGCACTACTCAAATATTCAAAATCTTTTCGCATTTTTTTTTATAATGAAAAGAAGGTTTTTTTATTGATAACGTTTCTTCTAGCTAATCTTCGAAATCCAAAGAAAAAAAAAAGTAAAATATCGTAGATTTATCATGTATAAATTGGAAATAAATCTTGTTGAACTTCATGATTATGATGTTCTCTTGCAAGATATTGTTTACATGGAAATACTACTTTTTCATTTGTATCCATATTAATAACTTCAATTTTATCAAGAAGCAATCCCGATAAAACTATTGAATTAGGATTTTCAATATGTAATTTAATTAATTTACCTATATATATATAAATTTATTAAAAGAAAAAATATCAAAACTTTTTCTTACCTAATTCTAAACATTCAATAATAAATTCATCAATTCCATCACGTTCATATAAATTTTTAGTTTTTTGTTTTAATAATATTTTACTCGTATTACCAAGAGTACCATAAAGTATAATTGATACATTAATATCTATACCAGCATCTGATACAGAACCTGTATAAACAATAATTTTATACTTAACTGTATGACGATGATATTCTTGTTCAATAGAATATTCTTTTCTATTTATACAATCAAAAACATCACCATTATTATTAATATTAATCCATTGTTGTACTGGAAAGTCATATCTAGACAAAAAGAAAAAAATTTTTTTTGTTTTGTTGAATAACAAATTAAATAATTTTTTTTTCTTTCTAAATAATAAATTCTTACTTAATGCCTGTTGATAGATCAGTTATAATAATATGTGAAACATGCCACATATTTTCATCACTATCAGATGTTTGAGGTAAATATTCATTTTGTTCTTGATGACCTAATATAATACGACGTAATTCACCAAGAGATTGACAATTTAACATAAACATATTAGTTTGTCCACTATACATATTATATTTCAATTAATAATATATTTTGAGAAAAAAAAAAAGAAGAATTTTTTTTTTCTTACCGTTGAAAAATTCTTTTATTTACTGAATTTTTCATTATAAGTTTTTCTGATCGATTTTTATTTCCTTCAACAATAATCCAACCATTTTGTATTGTTCCAGCATTTGGTTTATCTGAAGTAATAACTAATATTTCATATGGAATTAGTTGACTTGATGTTAATGATTCATATTGATTTTTAGGATATAAATGATTATTACAAAATAATTCTCGTACAATTTGTCGATCATCTTTTTTTGATGATAACCATTTATTACATGGAAATATATATGTTTGTCCTGTTTGTATATCATCAATTTGTACATATTCTAAATGCCATGAATTTTTTAATATAGATGAATCATCATGCCATATACGTATTTTATTTAATTGTCCTAAATTTGACATATTTTCAAATGTAAATATATCTTCATGATTACGTTCAAATTTATTTTTATATGTTGAAGAATTTTTTAATTCTAATTGTTGACTATCACCATTTTGACCTGAAAAAGAAAATTATTATGTGTATAAATATCAAAAAGAAAAAGTTTTTTTTTTGTACCTGAAATAATAATAAATACATTTGAATCACAATTTGCATCATCTATATCACTTGTTTTAGTTATAATACGATAAGTTGTTCGATATGGTGTTGATATTCTATTAGTATTTGTTACTGGTATATCAGAATAATAATCTGTGTCATATCCTATCCAATTATCAAGTACAAATAAATATGTTTCTTCTTTTAAATTTTGTTTTGGATATTTAATAAGTTGAATTTTTTCTAAATACCAACGATTTCGATCTTGTATAGATTTTGGTAAAATTGATACACATAATTTTGTTAGTTTACCAACATCTTCTAATTCATACTAAATTAAAAAAATAATTAAAACAAACAAAAATATAATCTGTATCTTACATGAAATACATCAATAGATGATCTTTCAAAAAATCCTTTTTGTTTTCTTATAAGATATTCTGATGATGAACATTTTGTACCAAATAATCTTAAACTAATATCACAATCACAACCAGCATTTTCCATATGTCCTGTATATATGGTTATTGCATATGGAATTGCTAATCAAAGGAAAAAAAAACAAAAATTAATAATTAAAATTTTTGATAAATAAATTCAATCTTACATGAACGATATAATGTTTTATTTAAATCTTGTACTTTAAGAATACGTTTTGTTTTTCTATCACCTTTATATTTTGATAACCAATCATTACAAACAAAATAAAATGTTCGTCCTTTTGTTGGCATTTCAACAATGACATTATCAAGAAACCAACTATCAGCTAATGTATTACCATTATGTTCAATTTCAATCATTTCTATATCACCAATATCAAGTTCTTGTAATGAAAATGTTTCAATAGTTCCTGGTTCAAAACGTCGTCGATGCATTACTTCTAAATCCATCATAGGTGTTTGACGACCTTGAGAACCAATTAAACGAATAGATACATTTGCTGATGTACCAGCATCAGGCGCTTCGCCAGTTTTTATTTTAATATTATAAGGAATATGTCTTTCAGTTGAATGAGGTACTAACCCTGTACCACTTATTGAACTTTGATAATTCTTTGAAAAAATAATAAAAAAAAAATTTGTTTATAGTGATGAAGTAATAAAAGATACATTTAATAAATTTACTTTTTCATAAAGTATTCGTTCAAGTGTTGAATAACCTTTATCTTTTATTAACCATTGATCACAATTAAATACAAATGTTTGTTGTTCATTTTTAATTTCAATTTTTTCTAAAAACCAACTATCTAATACACCACTTTTATCTTGTCGAACTTTAATTTTATAAATATTTCCTAAATCATGACTTTCAATTATAAATCTATCGATTTGTTTTCTTTCAAATTTATTTTTATTTGTTTGAGAATATTTTAATTCTTGTTCATTTGTATCATCTTTATCTCCATACATTGTTAGAAAAACATTTGTATCTGTACCAGAACCAGCTTTATCACCTGTATAAACATCTACTATATATTTTTTTGTACATTTTTCATCAATTAAATTTTCTGGAATAAGATCACGTACAATAAATCCATCATCTTTATCTTTAGCAAACCAACGATTACATCGAAATATATATGTTTTTGTTTTTTGATTTTTAATTAATCGACGTATTTCAACACGATCTAAATGCCATGATGCACCTATTTTATTGAAAAATATATATAAATTTTGTAAATTCATATGTGTATTTTATTTTACCTAAACCACGATTATCATGTCCAATACGAATTTTTTCAATATAATCTCCAACATCTTCAAGTTCATGTAGAAATGTATCAATAGAACCCATTTGAAATTTTCCTTGTCGTTCTGTTATATTACATAACATAATTTGATCAGTTGATTTTTTAAGACCATAAATTTGTATATAAACATTAGCATCTGTTCCAGCACCAGAAATTTTTGATGTATAAACTTTTATTTCATATGGAATATCTAATAAATGAAAATTTCACATTATATATTTATTTTTTTTTTGGTTGTATTCTTCAGAGATGTCCATCGCGGCGCTGCCGCTGCCGCTGTCGCAGTGGCGGTGGCGGCGCAGTAGCGGCAGGTTTTTTAAAAAACTATCGCAGCAGCGGCAGGATTTTTTTTGGAGGACATTGAAAAACTGTATGAATTTAATAGAATTTCAGGATTTACAAATGAAACGCCCTGATATTGAATAAATCTGATGGACTAGTACCCATATCTCTGGTCAAATATAGTCACAGCAGTGAAATTAGAAACACTTTTTTGAAAACCGCCGCGGCAGCGGCGCGGTGGCGGCACGTTTATTTTATAACTCATCGCGGCAGCGGCGCGGTAGCGTTTCTTTTATAAGTCATCGCGGTGCGGCAGCGTCGCGGCAACATTTTTTTATAAACCGCCGCGTCGCGGCAGCGGTGCGACAGCGGCAGATTTTCAGCCGCGATGGACATCTTTAGTATTCTTACATGATATTTTAATTCCAGTTGACATTTCAATCGGATATAATTCAATTTCTAATTGAGCATCTTTTTTTGTTTTACTTATCCATTTATCACATGGAAATATCCATGTATGACCTAATTTAGGTATATTAATTTCTACACGTTCTAATAACCAATCTGATGCAAAACCTGAATTATCATGACCGATTCTTAATTAAAAAAAAATATTATTAAATCATAATTCTTTTTTTTTAATAAATATTTTATACATACTTTATCTTTTTTGGTTGACCAATATCTATAGTTTCAATTTCAAATAGATCTTTATGACCTTTTTCAAATGGATCTTTATTTGTAATTGATTTAACTAATGGAATTTTGCCTAATATTCAAATAAACATATTATTTATTTTATTTAATAACAAATCAATTTTACCTGTATCATTATATTCTCCAAATATAATAATATAAACATGAGCATCTGTACCACTATCAAATTTATCTGCAGTAATTACATTAATTCGATAAGTTGTAGCTAAATTTTATGATTTACAAAAAAAAATTAAAAATATTACTTTTTGTTTTTTTTTATAATTTACTTTGTTGTATAGGTGATAAATACTGTGTTGTATTTTCAGATGCATAAATTTCACGTGATATCATTTTATCATCTTCATCAATAGCTAACCATTTTTGACATATAAAATGATATCTTTTAAATAATAGAAAGATAATTAAAGAATAATTTTTTTTTTCTTTCTATTATATATTTACCGAAGACCAGTTTCAGGATCAATAATTTCAATTCGATCAAGATACCATGCAGAATTAAGCTATAGAAATAAGACAAAAAAAAAGAAATGTTTAGAATACGAGAATGATAACATTTTGTAGAGGAAATAAATAATGATACTTATTAATAAAAGAATAATTTTATCTTTCAAATTTCTCAATAAATCTTTGTAGAATCTACAAATTCAAATTAACTTTAAATCTGAAATCAACTTGTCCAGCTAAAATAGACCATGCTTGACTAAAGTTGCTAATAGATAACAACCAGTATAAACAGTAGTCACTATTCCACAAAACTTGCGCAAAGACAATGGAAAACAAACTATATTATCTTTTATTATATTTCGAACATTACCATATCATCGACGTTTGAGCTATAGTTTGACATGAATAGATCACTTGATATTTTTGTAAGAAGTTGACAGAAAGCCGATGTGTCATCTGTGGACAAACTGTTGTCTTCTCTAGAGGTTAGGGTAAGGACTCATGCCAGAGATGTCCATCGCGGCTCAAAATCTGCCGCTGCCGCGCCGCGACCAAAATCAAACAAAGCTGCCGCGCCGCTCCCGCGACGCGACGGCCTGTTAAAAAAAGCTACCGCGCCGCTGCCGCGACGCGCCTTAAAAAAAAACTTGCCGCGCTGGTATTCGAAAAAATGTTTTGATTTTAAAGGTTTTGACTGGTTTGAAATAGAACTGATGGCGCTAATCGATCAGATTCGCTAAGTCTTACAGTATAGCATGCATAAACATGCAGATTCTGTGCAAATTCATGAATTTTTGAAATTTTTTCCTAAAAAGCTGCCGCCGCTGCACCGCTGCCGCGACGGCAAAATAAAAAATCTCTCCCGCGCCGCGATAGTTTTTGGAAAAAATCTGCCGCTGCCGCGCCGCGATGGACATCTCTGACTCATGCATATCAGCTGATGACAACTATATTAACAATTGATATTGAATTCTAGCTTATTTGTAACGAGCTGTTCATAAACAAGGAGAAAACAACGAACTTTAAATGGCTTCTAAAAACTTGAAATTTCATAAGATTTCAAACCAAACTCTCTGTTATTGTCTTCCTATTACAGCTCGTTTCAAAAGTAAGAATCTACAAAATCATCTTTTTAAGTTGCGCTTTCTCTCTCGAAAGTCAACAACTTTTTAAAATAATCTATGTAAATGATTCTAATATGATAGTAATATCAGCATTCCTTTATTTGTTTGTATTAGAACGAAAGGATAATTATGAAAATGGAAACAGTAAATCTTTCTAAAAGAATTGTGATGAGACCATACTCAAATAATATAGGTCATAATCCTGATTCTAGTCTCACAAGATCGAAACCAGGACTATTTTGCAGTTTTCTATTTAAAAGAAATATTTAATAGTCTTTCACAAACTAAGCTGATTAAATCTGAATGAAATTTTCTATTATTAAAATTTTATTGTTCTCTCTTAAAAAAAGTTATTCAGATTCTTTTATGTTAGATTTATAAGTCAATTTTTAGTCTAATGTTCATACCCCTTTATTATCATGTCGAATTTTAATTTTAGTTAATTTTCCCAATGATGGAGCTTTGATTTCGAAAATATCTTCCTAAAATCGCAAAAAAAAACAAAACTTATTTTGAAAAATAAGAAAACAAAACAAACTTGTTTTCGTTCAAATGGATTCTTATTTGTTTTTGATTTTATTAATTGACGTTCACCTATAATAAAACTTTATATAATACAATAAAATTTAATTATTTACCTGAATCTTTATTTTGACCATAGATTGTTAGAAAAACTTTTGAATCAGTACCAGCACCACTTTTATCACCGGTAAAAACATGTACAAGATAAATTAATTCTAATAAAATATTTTCTTTTTGTCTATTTAATTTTAAAAGACAAATATTACTTTTACCTTTTCGATTACTTGATATATCACTATTATCATATGTAGGTAATAATTCTCGAATAGTTTGTTTATCACCTTGATCTTTATCAAACCATTGTCGACAAATAAACCAATATTCTTCAATATTTGAATCTGATGTATTAATTTGATTTAAATATTTTGATCGATCAGATTTTGTATCTAAATATAAAAGAAAAAAAAAACAAATTTGAGCTTATGATCTCGTTTTTTGTTTTGTTTATCAAATGATTTACTTAAATATCGTTGAATGAGAACCTAAATTGAAAGATTTTTATTAAATAAAAATTTTTTTTTGATCAATAAAAACTTACTTTTTCAAGATACCATGCTGCACGGGAATTTTCTGAATGATGACCAATTCGAATTTTTTCAATTGGTCCAATATCAGGAGCTTCGATTTTAAATTTATCAATCTTAAATAAAATTTGTTTAAAAGAAAAAAACTGAAGTTTCTTGAAAAATAGTCATACCGATTTTCTTTCAAATGAATCAGATTTACTTTTTAGAGGAATTTCTTCTGTTCTACCATATAGACCATATATTTGAATAAAGACTTTTGCATCTGTACCAGCACCAGCTTTATCACCAGTAAAAACTGTTATTTCATATGGTATAACTATAGACAAAATATTATTTATTATTTAAATTATATTTTCAATTGGTTTAATATTTACGATTTGATTTTTTAATTATGTCCGATGGTGTTAAATCAAGTTCAATTTTTCCATCACCTTCTTTTTTATCTAACCAACGATGACAATTAAATCTATTGAAATCAAAGATAAACATTAAAATAAAAAGAATTTAAATATCTATCAATTGAATTAAATAATAGAGACTACTCATTAGAGCTATTGATCGCGGCAGGAAGCTTTTCTTTTTTTCTAGAGAAAATTTTAATACTACAGGAATTGGTATAGAATATCAGTATCTACAAACTAGACACTCTCGCATTGAATGAATCTTATGTATAAGTAACAAAAGTGAAAAATACCATCACGACAGCGATGTCACTGCGCTTCTCTTTTCTATCACCACAGCAGCTTTTAAGCAGCAATAGATATCTCAATTATTTATTAGACTTAGTAAACTTTGTTTACCTTAAAAAAAAATGACTAGTACCGATGACCTCTTGCTGAAGATATCGAATGTTTTTATTGTTAAAACTCTGAGAGTCATCTTATAAGGAAAAACTTACTATCTAAATCATATGGCATACCCCCTTTTCATTTGATTTTGATTCTATTTTTTCTGATCATCATCTAAAGATTCCGAGAAAGGATATGTATCGTTTGGAATTGATTTCAAATTTCGTCACATCACTAATGCTAGTTGTTTACTGATAACTCCTCAGAACAAAGATTTCTAGTGCTAATTTTTTTCAAATATCTAGAGTAACTGAACATAGGTCAGAGATGTCCATCGCGGCGCCGCCGCTGCCGCTATGGCGGTGGCGGCGCGGCAGCGACAGGTTTTTTAAAAAACCATCGCGGCAGCGGCAGGATTTTTTAAAAAACCATCACGGCAGCGGCAGGATTTTTTTTGGAGGACATTGAAAAACTGTATGAATTTAATAGAATTTCAGGATTTACAAATGAAACGCCCTGATATTGAATAAATCTGATGGACTAGTACCCATATCTCTGGTCAAATATAGTCACAGCAGTGAAATTAGAAACACTTTTTTGAAAACCGTCGCGGCAGCGTTTCTTTTATAAGTCATCGCGGTGTGGCAGCATCGCGGCAACATTTTTTTATAAATCGTCGCGGCGCGGCAGCTTTTTTTTCTAAGGCCGCGGCGCGGCAGCGGCAGATTTTCAGCCGCGATGGACATCTCTGACATAGTTAAGTTCGTTTTTAGAAAATTTAATTATCTCGAGATTTGAGTAATCTAAGTTTTCGAAATTGACGTTGATAACGAATATGATTTTATTCATATACCTATACAGTTCTTGATGTATTGGTATATCAATTTCAATCCAATCAAGAAACCATCCTGCACCAGATTTTTTTCCATTATGTCCAATAAGTATATGTTCAATCTATTGATAATATTAAAATAATCTTAATAAATCAAAGATAATTAACAAACTTTGCCAAGATCATAAAATTCACATGTAAAATTATCGATAGATCCACGTTCAAATAGAGCTTTTGTATTGTTTATTGTTCTAAGTTGAATTTTATCTGTATTACCTTTTTCACCAAATATTTTCAAATGTACATCAGCATCAGTACCAGCTTGAAAAATATCACCAGTTTTTATTTTAATATTATATGTTGTTTTATTTAAATTTTGTGTTGATGTTAATTCACGAACAATTTGTCCATCATCTTGATCAACAGCAAGCCATCTAAGAATAAATTATTTTTTTTTATTTTAAATACAATTACTCTTTTTGTTTTTTTTTTTGTTTAAATACCTATTACAAATAAATGTTACTGGTTCAAAATGTTGATCATCTTGACGAATAACAACTTTATTTAAAAACCATCCAGAATGTTTTCCTAGTTAATGATTAGATAAATAAATAAGTAAAAAAACAAAAGATTTTTTTTTTTTAGCATAACTAACCAGTACCATCATGACCGATTTGAATTTTTCGTATTTGTTTTAAGAAAACAGCTTCAATAATAAAACTATCGACCTTTTAAAAAAAAACGAAAATTTTGTAAATGAATATTTATTTTTACTTGGTTTTTTTCAAATTTATCTTTATTTTGTAATGAATATTCTAATAAACGAACTAGAAAAAATAAATGATATATTTTTTGTTTTTTTCGTTTTTGCATTCAAAAAATATTAATAATTAAATTTGATATTTAACCTCCTGTATCACCATAATCACCATAAATATTAATAAAAACATTTGCATCTGTACCAGCACCAGTTTGATTTCCTGTATATACATCAACTATATATTGAACAACAGGTAAAGATCTTGATATTCCGGGTCCTTCAGCTGGTAATTCTCGAATAATTTGTTTATCATCTTCTGTTTTTGATAACCATCTTCCACAATGAAATGTATATTGTTGATGTGTTTTAAGATTTTTCATTTCAATCTAAGAACATCATTAAATAAAATAAATGAAAGAATAATGTCGAATTAGGTGATCTATTTAGAATTGAGAAATCAATTATACTATGTTATTGAGTAAATCGAGCCGCTTATCGAATTTAAATAGTAAATTTTATTTTCATAAGATTTTCAACGAATTCGAGTCTATTTATTAAGAGATGACTATGTACTCAAAGCATGATTATTGTGGTCGTTGATATCCTTCGAAAGTGTTTCGAAGAAGTTTTTCTTTATATACAGTTCTATAGAGATTCTTACGAACTAAAGCTTATACACTTATCATCTCTGAACATCTTATCTTTGATAGGAAGAAAAAAAAAAAGCGATTTTCAATAATTTATCATCGTTTTTCGCTAATGGTGGGTCTTCATGTCTTCCTATTGAAGACATGGAGACTTACCATTAGCGAAAAACGTTGATAATTTATTGAAATATAAGCTTGTAGTTCAAGTGAGATCAACAACTACAATAATCATCTCTCAATAGATTGACTCGAGTTCTTTGAAAGTCTTATGAAGATCATATTTGCTATATACAATCCGATGAGCGGTTTGTCTTACTCAACAAATTGGTATTATCAGTTTGTCACTTCTGAATAGGTCACTTAATCCAATAGAGTCCTTTCTTCTTTTGTTTTTTTCATACTCGATCAAGATGCCATGATGCAGATAAACTTTCCTTATGAAGACTAACACGTAATTTCGATGGTACACCAATATCATATATATCTGCTTCAAATTGATCACAATGACCTTGTTGAAATGTATCTGAATTTCTTTCTAATTTAATATCTCTTGATTTTCCATTACTACCATAAAGAGCAAGAATTGCTTGAGCATTTGTACTTGCTCCTTTCTTATCACTTGTATATACCCATATATGCCATGGAGTAGCTAAATAAAGAAAATTCATTGATGAAAATAATATTTTATTTATTTACTTGGTGGATAAATTTTACGTAATGATATATCTTCTTTTAATCGACGTTCAATACGTTTATCACCTTGATCATAAGCTAACCAATTATTGCAAGGAAATGTTTGTTTAATACCTGTACTTG